GGGGGGGGGGGGGGGGGGGGGGGGGGACAAGAAGAAACAGTGATTGATTGTAGGTAGATACATCAAATCTCGAAGGGTTGAATTGCATGGGGTCCTTGTACAAATCTGGGTCATAATGAATGCATGTTGCATCGATGTTCACATGCCATCCTTTCTTTATTTCAAAACCTGCATACCACGTTCAAAATGCGTTGGAGGGGGTCCCAATTTGTTCAAAAACTCTTTATCAAGTCCACTTGGCATCCTGTCTATCGATTTACAAATAGAATATAATTCTTTTCTGTATACGTATGTGTATATTTCTAGCAGAGAAATAGTTCTACAGGAGTCATCTTCATTTCCTACGGTAGAATAGAAAATCTTGTTCATTTGTTTCCATTAGTGAAATATCAAAAAGAGAGGATGAATGTAACAGGAGGAACGTACCTTCTAATCTGCAATCCCCTAGTGCCACACGAGGAAACCACAGCAAAACATTGGACATTCTCAACGTCTCTTTGACGACCTGCAATGCAAATGAATTAAGTTGTCAGTGGCCTGTTAGTACATTGTGCATGGAATTAATTACAATCTGAAGCACTCTGTACACTTCTTACAAAATAAAAACAAACTTAGGCTGCTTATTATAACCTTTGAACCAAAGGACATTTTATTAAGATCTTCAAGAGTAAGTAGTTCTCCATCTTCCTTCTTTCGTAGAATTGACAATTGTTCCTCCTGGAGAGTTGCAATGGGCATTAGTATTCATTCCACAGGAGTACTCAGCATGAAAGTATGAAGAGCAGTGGATTATGGGTAACCTTTGTTAACTTTTCTTTGGATAACTTAACAGGTTGTGGATCTTACCCGCAGCCTTTCTTGGGCCTCTCTGTTCTCATCCAGGAACTTGACACTCCACATCATAGCAGCAGCTGTGGTAGTTTGGCTTGCAATTATCAGTGTCAAAAGGTTATCCATTATCTCTGAGTCATCTAACTTCTGATCCGGAGGATACGAATCTCTCTGCAACATTGACTGCAGGAAGTCTTCTGGTGACTCCTCTCCCTTCCGTCGCCTGGATATTATTTCTCTTAACCTTTCCATTAGTCGGTTTCGTGCCTGCACATTTTGTTGATGATGAGTTTATATGCTTCTAAAGTTGAAGGAAGCTAAAAAGTCCTAGTTGAAGGAAGCTAAAAAGTCCTAGTTGAAGTGTATCAATGTACCTTGATGCCTTTGTAGTACCTAGTTCCTGGAATCATGAATGGGAGAGATAACATGGCATCAGAGACGGCTGAACAGTCTTTTTCAATCTGCCTGAGTGTAGATTCATCTCTTAGACTCATTAGCATATTGCACATGGAATCGAATGTTATCTGCAAATCACATAACGTAAGATATGTTGGCTGCCAAGTCAAACAGACATGTTTGAGAAAGATGACTATATTTTTATTTTCTATAACCTTCATGCTGAAATCAAGCAGTACAAAACTTTTCCCATCTTTTACTAGTTTCTGTAGCCTTTTGGAGAGCATGTCGTCAAATTGTTTGACAAACTTAGACAGAGAAGTCATGGAGAAAGGATCAGCTAGAAGACGCCTAATCCTTCTGTGATCCTCGTGGGAAACGCATAGTAAACTCTTCTCCCCAACAGCATCTCCCATGGATTTCACGTATCCCTTGTTGAATTGGACAAAATCATTGGCAAGTATTGCCTTTGCACCTTCTGCACTTGGAACAAACACATGGATTTTTCCAAATAGCCTTGTCCTGAACCACCTACCATGCCTGGTTTAGTTTCACACAGTCATCAGTTCCATGTTCTAAACTGCCCGGGATGTATATGCTAATGCATATATATGTATACATGGACCTTCCCAAATAGCCATGGAACTCACATCAGTCGTCAAATTTAAAAATTCAATGGAGTTGACTCGTATGGGACGGTAACCATGTCTAGTTTTGTATCTAAAAGTTCTAAAATTATCAAATTAGAAGCTAAAGGAATCACGTAAAAAGATTACAAATTTTAGGGAACTAGTTCAAACTTGGCCTTGAATGAGGAAAATTGGAATCATATTAAAGGAATATTAGAAGTCAGACTAACAGTACTTTTGTAAAGAATATCCATAATCACCATGGGGACAGAACCACTAACCACAACCGGCGGAGCCTGACAAATTGGTAACACCCTCTGGTGCTGTTATTAGCAGAAAGAAAAGAGAAGGTTTCCCCTACAAAGGGTAACCCCAAGTGACCAGGAATTCCTCCAACATTCTTGCTCCTCTGTCTCCAGCAAACTTTCGAAACCAACACTAAAATACCTATGGAAAGAACTGCCGCCACTGTCGTAGTGTCAAAATAGTTTTGAGCTAAGAGCACAAGCTCCTCCTTCCACAACATCTTCAACTTTTCGCCAACAAACTCTGTTGACTCTTGATGAAAACAATGAATAGTTCCAATTGGATGGGATTACTCTTCCAAGATGCTGCAATTTATAAATATAAGGAGGGAGGGCCAGAGTGTTCAACAAGACAATATGTGGTATATATTTAAATGGTCGCCAATGTATATCCTTGGATGCTTAGGCATGAAAATGGAAAGATCCATTCCATAAAAACGACACATTATATGATATCCACCCGCGTTTAATCTTTATTTCAAGTTGGGGTCTATTATGTTTGTTTTCCGATAGAATATATTTATCATATAGTGGACAATTATGATTGTGATATATGGATTTGATGTTTATATGGGATCAAACTAAATGCTTCTAATATATAATTGAAGACTCCTTAGATGCCCACCCAACATTATATTTGATGGAGATCAATCAGACTTATACTTGTAGATTGAGCATTTTTATTTGGCTTTAAATTTACAATTTGTTCTGGTTTTTCTATTTAGCTGTCTTTCATTTTATTTCTCAATTAGAGGGTAATTTTGGGGCTGTGATAATCGAGTTTTGAAAATATTGTAGTGATGAGGTTATTGTTATCATGATTTGATTATTAAGGAGTCCTCTAATCTTTGCCTCTTCTTTTCTCTCCCTCTTTCTCAATCTGGGTGGGGATTGATTCTAAAACCAGCCCGAGGATGCGATTTCATATCCATTCAAGTTGGAACACCAAACATGAGGTGTTCTCCCTCCCAAATCCTATCTCAACAGTTAAACACTTTGCCTTTTTTCCACTTCGAAACAGAAAAGGAAAAGGAAGAGTGAAGAAGTCTTTTTCAAGTTGATTTTGAAAGGTGAATACGAGTATGGAGAACTGATCTTGAACTGTACAGGAGAATAGGATTGATAAATTTTGTGGGAGTTACATGTTAAAAGGTGGGTTGACTGAGATGTCCTTATTATGAGCCTAGTGGGAGGGGTGTTGGTGATTCCGATAGAAGATGGTAATGGAAATGGAAATCGAAAGGACCCACATTGAGAGTTTAAGGATACTTGGGGAAGCCCATGTGGTAGGTTCTTGGAGGGTCGAGGTCGGGGTCAGGTGGTCTGTGAGTACTTTTATATATGAAAACGATGGTAGAAGAGGAGGATCCAAAAGGCCCTTAAAATGGGTGTGTAGCAGCACTTTGTTACCCTGTGCTAACGTAAGATGATAACAACTCTGAAAGTAGGGGGATAAGGACAGGTTGTAGTATTGTGGCCGGCCATGCCCATGACACCTCCTTGCTTCGGTGGCCTGCTCCTGTGTGTGTTTCCTTTCAAGGGTCCCAACTTCCAACCAACTACCCAATAACATATTCTTTTCAAAGTTCTCAACCTTGTTGGATTCCCTGTCTTACATCTGCTCTTCCCCAATTATTCTCTCCTTCTCTCTCCTCACTGCTCATCAACTTCCGCCTCCTCCTCCTCCTCCATTAGAAAGAATCAAAATTTTCCATCAAAAACTGTTCCAAAATCTAATTTGATATATATGGCTTCTTTGATTTCTTGTACGAAAGATCCAATCTTTCCTTGAGTGTGTGCGCGCGCTCTGCGATTTTTGATAGCATGATGGGACAAATTGTTCTAATCTTTAATTATCTATACTATTACAGATGATCAAGGCTGAAATGGAAATATTTATTTCTTTTCCCTCCACTTTTCTTTCTCTTTTGTTATTCGGATATTTGAAGGTATCATGTCTATATGTTCTTCCCAATAATGATCACTGATTTTGCCTTGCTATATTTGTGAAGGTGGAAGCTGCATTTTTTTAGCTGAATTCAAGTGTCTCGGAGCTACATCTTCTTCCCCCTCTCCAGGAGTGGAGTTTGACTAGGATATTTAAAATATTTTTAAAATTCAGATTGTATATAAATTAATTACTATAAAAAAAACATTTCTTTCTTTTTCCATAAAGTTAAATTAGTTTTATTTATTTATTATTATTATTTGTTAAAATATGAAAGTTAGTGAATCTGGTTATTTAACCTCACTTATATAACCTGGCGACAGGGAATGGAAAGAGGGAACGGAAAAGGAGAGGGAGCTACTTGAGAGGGATGATGATCATGAAACTCCATAAACTCGGTAACTCCAGTTTTCCCCTCTCTAAGCTTGTCAATGTTCTAGTTAATTTTGTATCGCTTAAAATCGTTGAAGCTTATGATTGGTGCATCATCTAATTATTTGTTATGTTGACAGGTTTAAACAGTTAGTCTGTTTATTAAAATCGAACCGATTAACATATGTCTTAGAGTTTTAAATTTTTATAGAGATAACAACTTAGTCCACCTACTTTAGCTTATAACATGTTGGACATATATTTTTAAATTTATAATAGTTTAGTCTATTAACAACTTAGTTTCTTTATTTTAAAATTTGTGGCAATTTAATTTTTACAAGTGAAAATTCTACCAATATTAAGTATCGATGGTTATTGTGTATTAACTTCGACTCTGTAGTTTATAAGCATATTCGTTGTTAACTAGTTTATTAGTCTCCAACATTTTAAAATATCATTAAATTTTAATGATATTTTTTCCCAAATTAAAGGGTTCAAAAATGCATGTTATATATGCAATTAAATTCATACAAAATTGAAAAGAAAAATTAAATGGTTACAAATCATAGGGAGAGTAAATTGTTGAAAGAGAGGCCCAAAATGTTTTATTAAACCAATTGAATAAGAAAGATGCTAAAACTTGAAAATCCGGGAAAACCCGTTTTAAAGTTTACAATTTTTTTTTTTTTTTTTTTTTTTAAGTGACTCCGCCGGAGGTGGCGGAGCACAGCTGCTGAAAGGCGACGAAGGTGACAAAGCAGTAAGTATTAATTAGATCTGGACTTGGGTTCACTACTCACTTTCAACATTAAAATTAAAATTTAAAAAAAAATTTAAAAATGATAAGAAAATGTGCATTAAGTATTAAATACTTATGGACCAATTTCTGCGCTCCTTTCTTTTGGTTTGGAAAAATTCAAAATCTTTAGGAAAAAAAAGTTTATAAGAGATATATTCTAATATTTATTTTTCAGAAGGCAAGTAAATTAGTTTCTTCCAATGGTTTTTTTTTATATTAGAAAATTATATCTTTTTTTAATATTCATTAATTTAATTAAAAAAAAAATGTTTCCTATAGGTTGGGTTAGTACATAAATTTGACTATTAAGTATTTTTTTTTTCAGACTTACAAATTTAACTAAAAAGTAATATATCTAATATTGTTTTGGTCGGATCCTATCATTTCATACCAAATATGTTCCATAATTCATTGAATATATAAGATTTTTTTTTTCCAAGTAAGATAAAAATGTCATATAAATTTGAGGTAGAATTGAATGGAAATTAAAGCCTAAAATTAAAACCAAAGGAAGAAATCATTTTAAATAAATAAATAAATGTAGAAAAATCGCTTGGATTTTTTCCAAGGAGACTTGCTCTAGTCAACGGCGCGTCGGCGACTCCAAGTCGTACCTTGGAATACAAGTCCGGGTCCCACCATCAAATGCTGGTGTTAATTTTTTTATTTTTTTTAATATTTCATTTCTCAATTTGTTTTTCTCTCACATTTTTTTATAATTTATAAATTTCATTCTCTCTCAAATGTTTTTTAAAAATCAAATTAGTACACTCACAAAGAATAATGTGTTAATTTAAAAAATATTTTTTAAAAATCAATCTATAATTTTAATATGCTTTCTAACAGAACATTAACAATTTTAAAAATTAGAATTTTATTGAATAAATCAAATAAATTCAAACAGCATTTTGTCCATTCAATAGAAAAAAAACATAATTTAATCTGTTAATTTATGTCTAAATTAAGACAAATATAAATTTTTATATACTTTTACAAGTGAATAAAAAATGGTTAGGATATAATTTTATATAAAACTTATTTAAATACAAATATTAATATAGTTATAAATAGAAAGTAGTCATTTTTGTTCACTTTTTTTATTTAGAAAGAATTATTTTATAATCTTATTTTGAAATATTTTTTCAAAAAAATAATTAATTTTTTTTTGGTGTAGTGTGGGAATGCAATAAAAAAAAATTATTTATTCATTTATTTAAGAAACTCCATTTTTTCTTTCCACCCACTCTCCATTGCCATCGACTTCCAAAACTCTTCTTCTTCCTTCTACTTCAACTTCTCTGGTACATTCGCCTTCATTTTCCATCAGCCATGGCCTCCAACAGCTCCACCGCCGACGCTAATCTCGCCAATGCCAAGGCCCTTCTTACTGCCGCCGCATCCTTCGCTGCCACCGTCGTCCTCGCTCGCTCCGTCGCCAACGACTTATTGCCGCCCCAACTCCGATCATATTTCTATAATGCCTTTCTTAACATCTTCGACCGATTCTCCTCCCAACTCACCATGGTCATCGACGAGAGGGATGGCCTTGGCCCCAACCAAATCTACGACGCCGCCGACACCTATTTGGCCACCAGAATCTCCCCCTCCACACACAGACTCAAAGTCTCCAAGCCCGAGAAGGAAGATAGCATCACCACTACAATGGAAAGCAACCAGGAAATTACCGACACCTTCAATGGCGTCCAATTTCACTGGGTCCTCGTCTGTAGCCAAATCGAGGGACAGAACTTCCACAACGCTCGTTTGCCCTTCCGATCCACAGTCAGATCGTTCGAGCTCTGTTTTCATAAGAAACACAGAGACATGGTCCTCAAATCCTATTTACCCCACATTCTCCACCAGGCCAAAGAGATCAAGCAGCAGACTAAAACCTTGAAGATCTTCACCTTCGATTACCGTCAAATGTTCGGCAACATTTCGAATTTATGGGTTCCGACCAATCTCGATCATCCCAGTACGTTTGAGAAGCTCGCCATGGACTCTGAGATCAAGAACTTCATTCTGAGTGACCTTGAACGGTTTGTGAAGAGGAAAGAGTATTACAGGAAGGTGGGTAAGGCCTGGAAGAGAGGGTATTTACTCTACGGTCCCCCAGGAACAGGGAAATCGAGCTTGATAGCAGCAATGGCGAATTACCTGAAATTTGATGTGTATGATTTGGAATTAACAGAAATCCAATGTAATTCTGATCTTAGGAAATTGCTAATTGAAATGTCGAATCGTTCGATTTTAGTAGTGGAGGATATTGATTGTTCAATCGAGTTCCAAGATCGAGAGTCGAGAACCGAAGAAGACGGCGCATCGTCTACGAGGAGAAGAGCGCAGGTGACATTATCGGGGTTGTTGAATTTCATCGACGGGCTGTGGTCGAGCTGCGGCGACGAGAGGATTATTATATTCACGACGAACCGTAAAGAGAAATTGGATCCGGCGTTGCTCCGGCCAGGAAGAATGGACGTTCATGTTCACATGTCGTATTGCAGCCCTTGTGGGTTCCGGCTTCTGGCGTCCAATTACCTTGGGATTGAGAATCACGAGATGTTTAGCGAGATTGAGGAGCGGATTTTGAGCACAAAAGTGACTCCGGCGGCGGTGGCGGAGCAGCTGCTGAAAGGCGAAGATAGTGACAAAGCATTAAGGCATTTGATGGAGTTTCTGGAAGCTAAAGAACGGGAGAAAGAAGAAGCGGAGGCCGAAGATGGAGAAAAGGAGAAGAAGGCGGAGAATATAAAATAACTGACTTTATAATATTATTATTATTATTATTATTATTATTTTGGAATAAGGAATTTTTGGATATAAAGAATATAAAATAACTGAAAAATTATATAGAAACTTATAGCCTCACAAAATATATCTAGAAATTTATAATGTAACCGTACTTAAATCTAATTTTTAAACAAACTCTCAGTAATTATAATATATTAAATATGGCTGGTTTTTTTTTTTTTTTTTTTTTTTTTTTCTGAAAA